GAACTTTTCATAAGGGGGGGGGGCCCTGACTTACCTAAGGGGGGGCCGCCCCAGTCATGCTTCAGTGATTCCCTATATAATCAACCAAATTTTTCCCACAAAAGGGGGGGCCCGGGCCCCCCTTGGATCCGCCTACGCTCTGTACCTATGTAGCTCGAATGGTCATGAGAATAAATAAATTCTATTGTATATATATCTGAAATCAAGGAATTGTATATTTAAAAGGAATGGAAACATGGCTCGAGATCAATCGGGATACCCGCAGAGCACCCGCAGAGCTATAATGCATGTCTGACTCGGTTGGAAGTATGATGAATAATATAAAGAATCATGACGGTGGTCCATTTCCTGTCATATAGATCGGTCTTTTAAATTCACTGGGTCATCTTGCTTGAGAAGATATAAAGGAGAGAGAAACCAAAAATCAAGAATAAACTTCCATTCCGTGAATAGTTAAGGCCTTAGGTATCATTTTTATGCCTCATCGAACATACTTTTGTAATATTTTATTATGAAAATTTTTATTAAAATAAACCTCGGTCTTGAAACTTGAGTGAGTTTCATCCGGATTACAAAACAAAAAATACAGTGTTTTGATTTTTTTCTAAAAGCAACTACGAAGTGCAACACAAATTAGCTGATATCATTATGAAGCTGAAACCTTATTCTAGCATTTTGCCATTTTTTTAAGTTTCTGGTAACATTTCTGAATTTTCTATGATTTTTCGAAATTTCAGTTTTGAATTTCATTATTCCGTCAAAACACGTCTTTCAGTCTGGGAGTGTAATACGATTTCTTCTAAATATTGGAAAGCAGAAAGAATAATGTGAGAAAATGCGATATCATTTTAAAGAAGGAATATTTGCCTACAGTTTGGTATAAAATACGAATGCTAAATGTTACATGTGTTATTGGTACAATGTAAATGATTTTATTTCGAAACATGTTGAAAATTTTAAGTAGTGCGTCAATAAATACACCAACACGCCGTATTTTGGTGAGGGTTAAATAACTACTTGAAATAGATGTGACATTGACATACAATTTAAAAGCTTAGTCTTTTTTCTATCACATAGTGTTGGTTTTATGAAAATGGTGATAAAAACGAATTTGCTATGATTTTTCAAAATCCCATGTTTATAGTTCACATTGACGCCATTTTGTTCAGTCAAGTTCCACACCGACGAAGTCGGAAATTACAGGCAAGAAATGTATATAAGACTTCCGATTGGGATTGATTGTGCCGTTTTATACACGATTTTAATCATTTATTTTTTTGTCTAAATACTATTTTTATACTTAATCGTTGTTTGGTATTGCAGCTTGCCATTATTAAGCTTTGCAGCAAATTACCACAAGCTTAAAAGCAAAACAGTTCCTTCCTTTTTTCTAGGAGAGCAGTAGTCTAGAGGTCGCAAAATATTTCTTTGGTGTTAAAATAAATAATATGCGAATGTCGGAAAGTTTTAACTGTTTCTAATTAAAAAAATTATTGCACCACAGCATAATTTAGCATTTATTAACCAGTCAGGGATATAACTCTATAGGGTTATTACAGAAAAATAACATACATTTGTTATTGTGGACTAAAAATCAAAGAACTGTGATAACATATGTATGTTACATGTTTCAAAGGGACAATATACATCACTAGTTTAGTTAAAATGCATACAAGTTCTATTGATATTACTATTGTCTTTATGTATACTTTTAACTAAAGAAAGATATAACAGTTCGTAGTTCGCCAATTTTGCATAGTACACCTATATGTTATTACAGAAAAAATATGCCTGTAATAACTAAAGGGTGTTATCACAGCTTCTCTATATCACTCCAAAGCATTTTCTCAGACATACATCATGCTTAATTACAATGTATTTTAATTTATTGTAAGAAATAATGACCAGAGCATGTAATGAGGTTCTGCGCAAGCTTCCCAGTAATTCCCAAGTGTCTCATATTATAGGTTACATTCCTTTAATAACTAAGCTATGTTATTACAGCTTATTTTATCCCTTAAAAGCCTCGTCTCATTGATTTACCATGGTTAATCAATAATGTATTAATATAATTAAAGAATTAATTATCAAGGCTATGCATTTAGTTTCTGCGCAAAGTCTCAAGAGTTCCCTAGAGCCCATAATAAATTAAAATATTTTTGATTTATTTTACAAATAACAAACATATGTTATTGCAGATTTAGAAAATTTAAGGAATAAAGAGTAGACAACTCATGAAAGTATCTGTAATAACACACACAAGTTATTTTCTGTAATAACCCTATAGAGTTATATCTCTGACTGTTAACAGGTGAGCTCTGCGTGATTTCTTTTTGACACCTTAAATCAGGGACAGCCTATTATAGTTAGTATACACTGTTCCTACTTAAATATATATATACGACAAAAATTAGCTTATCAATGATACATGATAGATTATACCTGCTAATTGGATATCCCATACCGGTGTTAATTATAACACTATTATCTAAGTTCTTTTATCTAGACAAAATACTACATCGGTTCACGTACTTCTTCCTTTATACGTTTCTATACCAGTCATATTCCAAGATTGAAAAGTTATTTTTTAACTTTTTGCATTACGTATACCTTAAATCTTTTCAAAAAGTCGTATAATGTCAGATTTCATCTATTAATTGATCTTAATTGTTGCAAACCTTCGTGAAATATCAAGAGGAGGTACAAGAAAGAAAATGTTTTTCAGAAGTAACTTTGTTTAAGGTTGTATTTTTTGTTTATTTCATTTAAGGAATTGTATATCTAATTAACAATTCCTTGTTTCATTTAATGATTATTGACCAAGTTCGATAACTTCTGCCAGATAAGTAATGAGCCAGTTTGAGCGACAGGATGCAATTAACACACCACCCAAGTCAGAGATGCATCATATAATTTTCTTTGAAGTCGGCTGGGTTTCCATTCCTTTTAAATATACAATTCCTTGCTGAAATCTAATAGAAAACTATGAATTGCCGAAATTCTACAACAAAAATCCTCAGTGAGACAACAGTACCACAGTACTTTGCTTTCAAGTCAATTATCTACCTTATGAATAATTATGTCAGCCATATAGTTTTCAACAAAGAATTTGCATACAGAAAATACAAATCGACTTCCTGAAGATAACTTGTACTTTTATTGATTATACACGACTAAAACGTCTTAAACCTTATAATTGTATGCTGTTACACTAATTTAAGCAGTATAACACCATGTAAAATCTTGTTATCGGGACAAATCAGTTTGTTTTCGGGATATTATTTTGTTCTCGTTATTCTCGGGATCGTGGTACCCCTAATTTTGAAAGAGCAATTTTGTCCACAATTTAAAACAAAACAATCAGTTGTACCATGGCTTTAGGATTGTTAAAGTATGAAGCAGCAAAAAAACAACATTAAAAATAGTTATACTTTGAAGTACTTTTGAAGGCCCCTTTGAGGTTTTGTAGGACAATAAGAGACATCTTGCACATAAAACCTCCATGGGCATTTTGAAATGTTGGCAGGTATGATTGGTATGTCAACTTTTCTTCATGAACCATTGTATTAACACCAAAGTATCTGTATCCCCGAGGAACCAGTAATGACGCACCTAAGGTTGTTTTTGTCTCTGCATTTAATCTACCATTTAAAAGAATTAGAAAGACGGAATAGAATAAAAGATTGATGACTTGTTATTATATTTTAATTATTAAACAGTTGATATTTGAAACAGTAATAGCAATAAAAATCATGTTTGCTAACATTACAAACAGACTGCCAACTAATGATGGGTACCAGTAATGACGCACTGTAAACAAACCAGTAAAAACCACTTGTACGTAACTGATAATCGAAAAATTGCTTCAATCCGGATTCTTTAAAGTTAAAACTGTTCTACAGATTCAATTTTATTAACAACTTTTGAATTTTTCATTCACTTTAATGATCATGATGATTGTAACACCAAATTTTTAATCAATTTAATTGTAACCTATATTTTGATATATATTTGTCCAAAATTTATGAAAGTGATATACATATTCCATATATTTGAAAATAAAAAGTAATTGCATTCATAAAACAACATTGACAATAATACATTTATCAATGTACATATGTATACTTCATACATTGAATGAAAAAAGTCGATAAACCATTGAAAATTATATAAGCGACGATCATTTGTTCTACAGTGATTCCCGCTTAAATGTAAAGCCATGTCACATGACAGTCACGTGATTTAAAAAACACAAAATGGGGAAGCATACGGTTACATACTTTTCTTGACCAAAGTGGAGATAGGACTGATAATCTTTTGGGGAAGGGTAGAATTTTTTTTACCTTAATAAAATGGCGGAAATTGCATTGTCTTTAATATTTTTAGCAATAATAACATTTCTGGGCAGAGTTTTTGGCATCTTTGTTGTAGTCAGATGACCTTCAACATCATGTTATGAACAGCAAATGTTGATGACGTCACGGCTTTTGTTTAGAAATAAAAAACCGTTAACTAAATCGGTGCGTCATTTCTGGTCCGCGTCAAAACAGATACCAAGACGATACTATTGATGCTGGTTAAACCATAGTCCAAATAATTATGAAGTCTTGCAAGGCTATTTTATTTTTTTTCTGGGACGCCTTCTATACACCTTATCGCTATTCCCGCTTGACCCGAGAATCTGTCCCACTTGAACTTTTGACGTCATACAACAATCACTTTTCCATTGACATTGTGGCGTCAGATATTTTCTATTATGACGTCAAAAATTGTACGGGGACTTTTGTGATGTCCAGTAATGGCGGACAAATAGCGATAAGGTGTATTGTAAAATAGCCTTGCAAGACGTCATAATTATTTGGACTAGTTATACCACTCCTTTGATACATCGTAATTGACAAATGAAAAGTTTTGTTGATCACTGCCGACAGTTGAAATTATTCAATAAGTATCAAATTAGTTTATGACAGTCAATATCAGATGAAGGTTAAGCTACTCACATAATTCCTTTACAAAGTAAACAATCTTACGACTGAATTTCACATTCTGTCAGTCGCGTTCTAAATTCATCTCTTGTTTTCTGAAAGTAAATTTCCTGGAAGTGCATTCAAAATAGAGAAAAGCTCAAGGCATTCCGAACGGGAAAGTCTGGGATCTGGTCTTATCAAGTTTTCGCAACCTTTGTGTAGTGAGTTAAGGACCCAGACTAATATCACAATTACCTATAATAAGTAGGCTGACTCCGAACCAGAAATGTACAATCCGTATATAATCAAATCGTTAGTAAGTAAGTAAAACTTTATTTTGATTCGGCATATTGACAAACATACAAACATAGCTCTAATGAGCTTTTCACCGAATATAAAGACATATGCAATAACAAATAAAACAAGGCATGCAGCATGCAAATAAATAATAAAAAACAGCACCACATTTAACTCTAGCATATACATGTATCTTGCTAAATGCCAAAACATATATATGAAGCACTAATACAGGAATAATTTTAAAAATTTGCAGTTTAAATTTTTTTTTTAAAATAATTCATAAAGTAAAAATTTCAAATCTTGTAATTATTAAAATGTGAAAACAAAATTTCAGTTGCAATGCAAGCTGTTAATGCAGCATAAAAAGCATAAATAATGTAACACAAATTACCTACAGGCAGAGCAAAAACAGTCTGTTCCACTCCAGGACTGAACAAGACTTCTAAAATGTAAGAAGCTGTTAACAGTCCTGAAATGGTCTGGTAAGCTATTCCATAAAGAAGCAGCAGCAAAGCTAAAAGATTTTTTTCCATATGAGGTAGTTCTTACCTGTGGTATTTCCAAAATATTGCTGTATCTAAAAGAATATTTAGTGTGTTTAATTTGGAGTAAATTTTATAAACATAAAGGAGCCAAATTATTTAAAATTTTATAAGTCTCAAGTGCCATTGTCCTGATGCGTCTTACTTGTAGGGTTGGAACCTTTGCGTTCTCAAGAAGAGTTTCAGAGGATGATAAATAGTCGTCATATACAAATCTTAATGCTCTCTCTTGTATTTTTTCCAGTTTTTTAGAATTTTTCTCTGTACAGAAATGCCAAGCCAAAGGGCAAAAATTAAAATTACTCAAAATGAAAGTATGAAAAATTGTAAGTTTATTTAATCTGTTTAAAAAGGATCCAATTCTCTTGAGAACATTCAACTGTTGTGATGCCTTTCTACACAAGTTACTTATATGTGCATCAAATTTTAGTTGGTAATCAATATCAATTCCAAGTAACTTGACGGTTTCTTCACATGATAAAATATTTTGCTGAATTTGTATAGATAGATTTTTTGCAAAGGTTCTTTTCCCTACAGCAATAACTTGAAATTTATCAGGATTTGCCTGCATCTTATTTTCTTTAAACCAATCAATCAGCACTTGAGACTCAGATTCTAATATAGATACGAGATGGTCATAATCCGGACTGCTAAAAGACAGAGTGTTGTCGTCAGCATAATTGTATAAGGTACTATGTTTAACAAAATAAAAAATATCATTTATGAAGGCATTGAATAAAAGGGACCCTAATATAGAACCTTGGGGTACCCCCTTTTGGATGGCAGCCCAGCTACTCAGAACACTGTTTACTTTAATTTGCTGTTTTCTGTCAGAAAGATATGATTTTAATAAAGATACAGAATGTGGAGAAACACCATATGCTAATAATTTATCTAGTAAAATATCATGAGGTAAGCAGTCAAAAGCTTTTGATAAATCCATAAGAACTGCAGCTATATAAAAATTTTTGTCTAAGGCTTTACGCCAGTCTTCCAGTAATCTGAGCAGCGTAGTCTGACATCCATGTCCTCTACGGAAAGCACATAGATAAGGATTAAAAATGGAATCAAAGAAATCGTATAACTGTATTTCAAATATCTTTTCATAAAATTTTGAAAAAATAGGTAACACACTGACTGGTCTGTAATTTGATTTCAGTAGTGGGTCGTTCTTTTTATGTAAGGGTGTAACTTGGGCTTTTTTAAGTCGATCTGGAAATATGCCCGTGTCTACAGTCAAATTTATCAGACTGGTCAGCTGAGGTGCAATGACAGATTTACTTGCTTTAACTATTTTTGCTGGTATCCCATCTGCTCCTGTTGCTTTTTTCACGTTAACTTTATTGATGATTTTTTCCACTTTTTCTGATGTCACCTTTTGAAATTCAAATTTTGTATCTGTTTTCAAGTGATTTTGTTCATGTATGGCATTTATGCTATGATGGTTTAATGGATCATATATAACATCATTTCCTATCTTCTCAGCAACAGTAGCAAAAAATTTATTAAAAATATCTGATACATCTTTTGAATTATTTATAATTTTATTTTCTTCAAATAAAATAGTCTTTTGCCCTTGGGATTTGCATTTTTTTGAAAAGAAAGGTTTGACAGTGTTCCAAAAATCTGCACTTTTTGATCCTCCAGAACAGCGTTCTAAAAATATATATTTTCATAGATTTCCTTTTTAACTTATTTACCAAATTTCTTTGCTGTCTGAATTTTTCCCAAGTATGATTATTTCTTTTTTTGGTGTACTGAGAAAATAGCATGTGTTTTCGGTATATAGCTTTTCTTAATTCTCCATTCATACATGGAAGAGGACTTTTCTGGGATACCTTGACTTCAAAGGTGCATGTTGGTCTAGTGTGCTAATAAAGTTATTTTCATATGTCTGGTAGATCTCATTTACCTGTTCTGCAGTTGTTACTCCATCTACAATTTCAATCTTAATTTTAGCTATATCATTATTAAATTTATCAATATCAAAATTTTTATAGCTCCTGTATACAATTTTTTCATTCTGCTGTGCAGGCAACTGACCCTTTACAGTGGTAGAAATAAAATTATGGCAGTCACTAATACCAGTTGGAAAATTTAAGGTTTTAAAACAGGATGACTTTTTGTTCGTCAGAATGACGTCAACTAAAGATGGTCTACAATCTTTTTTAAAACAAGTTGGGTCTTTTACTAATTGATCTAAATCAAAAATATCACAGATATCACTTAAAGGTTGGCATTTGTCAGAAATTAACATGTCAAAATTTAAATCCCCAAGCACAATATAATTATCATATTTGACAGTTATTTTATCTAAGTTCTTTGAAAAAGATTCTGAGAAAGTATTATGTTATGTTATGTTACTTGTACCGCTTACGACGAAAACCTCAAGTAAAAAAGATAATGATAATTATTACAATAGAAATGACAAAAATTATAATAATATACTAGAAAAAAAGAAAAAAATACCCCCCTGCAATAAATACACTGAAACAAAAACGAAAAATTCAGAAGAAAAAAAAAACAAAACAAGACTAAACATTAAAAAGCAAAAAAAAAAAAAACACCAAATAACGAAACAAATAAAGATTCAAAACATAAAACAAAATTAAGAAGCAACAAATTAACAGACATCCCACTGACTTAAATTTGTTTTTTAAACCCCAAAATGTCCTTTCAAGTTTTAATTCTTTCATTGGTATGTCAATCTTGGACGCATACATCAAGGATTTGTATAGTAAGATAGAAAAAAAAATCCTTGAACACTGTAACACAATGTCTTATCTAGTACATTTGTAATCTCAGCATGAATGAAATAATATCTATTCTGTACTTTGCTATTTCATTTCATTGATATGTCAATCTTGGACGCACACTTGTCTTGTCTTGTCACAGTGGCGGATCCAGAAATTTTCATAAGTGGGGGCCCACTGACTGCCTAAGAGGGGGCCCGCTCCATTCATGCTCCAGTGATTCTCTATATAATCAACCAAATTTTTCCCAGAAAAGGGGGGGGGTCCGCCTCTGCTTGATGTCTTTTAGTAGATCCGTCCTATATAGGACCACCTCCAGTAAACGGAGTAGAGTATAAGTCACAATTGTTCTAGTAAAAATGTTTTTGTTTGTTTAGGAACAGTACTTTACAGAGATATGGCTGCCCTTAATCCCTTCCTCTTGCTACTAGGCAAAGCGTTGAGAATGGTATTTCTGCCTACGTGCAAAGAAAAACACAATCTACGGCTAAGGTGTTTTAGCAGGTTTAGCTTCCTCCGGAACTTTTCGGCTGGTTAGTTCTTTCCGCCCGGAACTTTCCAACGTCGGAACATAAGAGCATTTACATCCCTCCCTAAGGCTTTCTTGTGAATGTTACTTTCTAGAGGACTTGTTCCGGCTAGGATGTATGTTGCTGTATCTGGCGTTGTACTTGGTATTGATAGTACTTGTTTCAGGGTTTTTCTGTAGAATGTTTCTATTGCGTGCAGTTCGTTTCTGGATGGAAGAAGGATTTCTAATCCATATAACAGGATCAGGAGTACATATACTTGTAGTAGGTGCAGACAAGCAATTGGGTTTAAGCCGTTTTTCCATGGAACCCTGCCCCCATCAGACTATAGAGTGTACGCCTAGCCTTTTCTATGTTAGACTGTATGTGAGTGGACAGTGTTTTATTTCTGTTCTTGTTATGTGTTATGCCCAGATGTACACAGGTTTCTGGTTGTGGTAATGTATTATTTCCCAATTTAAATTGTTGACAATCTTTATCTTTGCAGTTCATTGAGATGACAGCACATGTCGTTGGTTGTGCATGTAATTTTCTTGTTTGCTGTAATTTTCAGCGGTATCTAGAAGTATTTGGAGATCTTCTGGTGTATTGGCTAGGAGAGACACATCATTTGCACAAGTTGACGCAGCGCAAGGGATGGTTCCTATATGTGCGCCTATACCAGATTCTTCTAGTTCTGATTCAACAAGGAATTGACATACACCTTATAGAGATCTGTGTTGAGGATACCACCTTGTCTTACTCCCTGTAGGATTGAAAAAGGGTCTGTGAATTCATTATCCCATTTGACTGAGGTCATTGCTCCCTGGCTCAGTAGGTATGTTAGTATCCATAGCTTTCCGGTGACACCTGCCAGAAAGAGCTTTCTGTATAAGCTTGAGTGGCCCACTACATCAAAGGCGGCTTTCGCATCCAAAAATGAAACGTGCAGTGGGACTTTCATATCCACAGCTTCTAGAATTGACTTATACATGTCATACAGGATCAGAGCGCAGAAAAGTGGAGAAATTTCAAGGATTTTTTATTACAAATAAAGATTCAAAACATAAAACAAAACCAAAAACAAAATTAAGAAGCAAAAAAAAACCAAACAAATTAACAAACATCCCACTGACTTAAAATTGTTTTTTTTTTAAACCCAAAAATGTCCTTTCAGGTTTTAATTCTTTCTTTGGTATGCCAATCTTGGACGCATACATCAAGGATTTGTATAGTAAGATAGACAAAAAATCCTTGAACACTGTAACACAATGTGTTATCTAGTACATTTGTAATCTCAGCATGAATGAAATATTATCTATTCTGTACTTTGTTATTTTTTTGTGTTCTTTGTGTCGTTATTGGATGAGTTACGCCCTTTTCTGATTTTTTTTAGATTGTTCTTATGTTGTATTGTTGCACCACTGTCACAGATTACTTGGGAGGGTTTGGCGCCAGCAAACATGTTTAATACCACCACATTCTATATGTGCCTGTGGTTGTCGTTTGTTGTTGCATATTATATATTTTTTTCGTTTATCATTAATTTGTGTGCATAATTCGGGCTGTTATTTTTATCGTTTGAATTGTTTTGCAGTTGTCATTTCACGGCCTTTTATAGTTTACTATGCGGTATGGGTTTGCTCATTGTTGAAGGCCGAACATTGCCCTATAGTGTTAACTTCCACGTCGTTTGATCTTTGGTGGAGAGTTGGTTCATTAGCAATCATACCACATCTTCTTATATTTATGTAATTCTCGTCTGAATAGATGCTATATATATATATATATATATAGATATAAGAAGATGTGGTATGAGTGCCAATGAGACAACTCTCCATATAAACAAGTCTAAATTGAAAACAACGTTCAAACCTATGATTGCGTTGGATAAAAACCGCAATTTTTATACGTGTGCATGCAAAACAATTTTCTTGTTAGAGGGGTCTAAATACAGCACAAACAACATTTTCCAAAAGACCAAAAAAGTGAAAAGGTATATTTTAACAAAACGCATTTGACTAACAGGTCGAACAACGGATGTTCTTAAACCCTGTTGACTGCCATTGGCGATTGCCAAATAAATTGATCACAAGATGTAACAAAATGCATGTATCTTAATATATATATATTGACTGTTTTAAAACATTACAATCAAAAGCATTAGCATTGACCATCGCAAACAAGATGTCTAGAGAAAATCCAATACTTCTCTCTTTGTGTTGCTCTGCGGATGTTTGTCTGCATCCTATTTTACGGATTGTTGTCATGGTTGTTTACAACAAATTTTTTATCAGTTTTGGAATATATACGTCCAAAAGCAAAGAAAACATTCGAAACGAGAATTCCGAGTGCTTCAATTCATTTTCCTATAGTTTTTTGGAAAATCTTTACCCTTGGCTTAACGCAGAATGCAAAGTTATTCAATAGGAAAGAAAGGATATATGGGAGTCTTTTAAGGAACCATTGTCCTAATAAAAACAGATCTAGCATTGTACTAATGCATGAAAAGATAAAATAAATTACAAAAAAAAACTATAGTTCTGTTTGTGCCTTGTGCCGATATGACGAACCACGCCATTCCTAAATGATTAAAAAAAAAAACTGTTTCAATTTTGTATTGCTATCCCATTGTTCCGGGTTTTTGTTTTTTATTTTCCTCTTCTTTTTTTTTATTGGGGGTTAGGGTTTTTTTTTTTTTTTTTTTTTGGGGGGGGGGGGGGGGGGTCTTATGATCGCTCACAAACATGTCTTAAGCCGCCAAATTCCATACGGGATGTGACATGGCCATTTTTGGATGTCTTGTGGCGACTTAATAATCCTAATTGTTCACATCCTTGTTGTTTGTAGTTTTTATGGATATCTGTCTCTTGTCAATCATACACCAGTTCTTTGTTTATGTCAGAAAAAGCAATTTACATTTATAGGAGTGATAAAAAAAGAACAAAAACGTGACATGCAGTAACAACTATTTCTAAACCTCTAAAACTTTTGTATGAAAATTGTTCGGCGCTATCCTTATAATAGACTTGATGTGCATGTTCTCTGGGTGAAATCGAATTTTAAAAGAAAATTGATGGGGCTTTCGCACACGTACTGAAGTGAAGCTTTATGCAAAGAGCGGCAACCCTCTATGAAGGAAATCAAGATTGAAAACGCTATCCCAGAATATCGTATACACCATTTGATAGCATACATTTCGATTTTGAAAAAGAATACATAAAAAAAAAACAAATAACGGAACTGAAGTATAAGTGATCGATTTTTGTTTCACTGTAAATCGTTGCAACCCATGTTATTTCTAAAAAAATATTTTTAAGTCTGCATATCGTTCAAAATAGAAAAATGGCCTGTGTCAAAACTTAAACGAAGTCGCTCAAAAAAAATGAAATAACATTGAACCAAAATGTTAGATACTGAATTGTATTGTATTGGACTGGAATTTTTATCGATTAGAATGGAAACAGATATGACTTCACATGATCACATGAGTATACATACAAGTAGACAAGTAGGGACGTACTATTAGAGATTTCCGGAAAGTCTCGGATCGGTTCCGACTGTTGACTCTGACTCTGACAGCAAAAATTACAGGGGTCGTCTCAAAGTTAATTTAGCGGCGCACTTGATTCATAAGGAGTCCATAAACGGAACATACTCTCGCTCCACCGACAATAAGAATAAAACAAAGAAGAAACTTGCAATAAAAAGGCAGTACCAATGTATCAATGAAGTAACAAATCAGGGACCAGTTCAAGTAAGAAAAAAAGTCAGACCTCGATATTTGTTGAAAATAAAACGTAGGACGAAAGTTTTCTTCTTAGCCACCTTAAATTATGGATCCGCCACTGGTCAAACCAAAGACTTGAAAATTTATATTTACTGCTTCTCCACTAAGCACGAAGCATGGTCGGCCTTGAGTCAGAATGTGTTAGGGTTGGTTGACTTGTTTTACTGCAGACAGTTAACTTTTTGAAATGGAACGTTAAAAATCGGTGTGTCGGTCTTGTACATTGCGTGGTCAAATATTCGTATCTTATTATGTTCCCTTTCCTGAATTTAGCTTGGCACTTTAATAAGATGAACATCCAACCATCCATTCATCAATCCTACATTCATTTTTGGACGAGATGTTGAAAGCTGAAAGGCTGCGATGGCAATTTTGAAATTTGAAAGGGTTGTCAGACATAATTCCTGCATCTAAAAGGGCTTTCGTTTATACCAAGTTTGGTAATATACTTTTTTTCAGTCGGAAAAGATAACTGAAAAAACTACGGATGCTATGTGATCAGGGCAATAGCTCAAAGATACCTTTGAGCTAAGAAGCAGGGGATAAGATTTGTGTCAACATTAAGTAAAAGAAATATAGGAAATAAACAGAAGACAAACCTTATTTGATTGAATAAATCGTTGTGTAAAATCTTGTTTAACTGTTATTTGCAAATTTTACCTTGAAAAGCTATTATTTAGTACTTTTTTTTATTTTGTGACGACCCCCTCCATTTTACCTGTCAAGAGTCGGTGTCAAGAGTCGGTACTGAGACTTTCCGTAAATGTCTATTAGAACCCATCCGAATACCGACTGACCGCTGAAATATCAATCCACTAAATTCAATAAGTATTTGGTTCAACTCATAATAACATGTATAAATATAAAAAAAGAATATGTGGTATGATTGACAATGAGACAACTCTCCACAGCAGACCAAATGCATAGAAATTAACAACTATAGGTCACCGTACGGCCTTCAACAATAAGTAAAACCCATACAACATACTGTAAATTCAGAAATTATTGCGATGTTTTTATTATTGCGAAAAATGCGACAGGGTTATAATCGCAATAATTTAAACTCGCATTTTGAAATTTTTTGTATGAATTAAACAGGATTTTCTCAATAGCGCAAAATTAAAATCGCATTTTAGTCTAAAATGACAAAATCGCAATAATAAATGCACGCAATAATTTCTGAATTTACAGTAGTCAGCTGTAAATGGTCCAGAAAAGCCGTATTTTGAAATGAAAAACGATGAATACGTATGCCATTTATAATCACACAAACTTTGATGAGATGATTAAAGTTGTTAATTTTCTCCTTTGACAATGTATATCCATGTACATTTCGGCAATAGAAATTATCATATTCATATGGGCACCAATCGTGCTTTTATATGTTAGCTTTGTTCTTGTAATGTTGTGAATCACAATCATTAAAGTTTTATGTCCTTTTTTGTATGGCGATGCTCCTTTGCATTTCTTATGGTGTGTTTATTTCAAAAGTCATTCGCTATGTCCGATTTGATTAGTTTAAATCTTACATGTGAATAGGAATTTCTCCCAAAATCATGTGCCTGTTCATGTTCATATTTTAAATCTTATAGAAGTGCAAATGATATGATTTAAAGTGTAATAATAAATAAATGACAAATAAGATGTTACATCTAAAAAAAGATTTATCTGTTATAAAATTAATTAAATGATGATATACAGTATGTATTTTTATTATTTTTGTTGTAAGGTTGCTGTCTCATTGATGTATATCCCATACCACCTTTTTCATAAAGTTAAAATCAACAGGATACAGCTTTATGAAATCATTTATTGTTGGAGAAATAACATTTATATTTTCCTGATCATCATGACAGATCTTGATATTGCTCCGTTCCATTGCATCTTTCCAAAAGGCCTGTTAATGTTTGCATGATAACATCCACCATGATGCCACCATGGTCCTTCATACAAAGCGGCACAATTTCTATCATATATGTCATTGTCCTGATCCCTAGCACTAAACTTATATCCATTATGATGTTTCAATAAATCCCCTGTAAGTAAAAGAAACAATTGAGGTTAAAATACAACAACCTTATTGACACGAAACACAAGGAGTGTATGTAGTTCAAACTTTTAATTCCAAGAAATCACTCCCGATATCCGTTAATGTATAGAGACGACATGGACTGTATGCGATACAGTTTAAATCTATACTACGACAATGTTCGTTTATGAAAATGGCTGTGACTAACATACTGTTCATTGTAAGACTAGAAATATTTGAAAATTTTAAAACAATGGTCGACCTGATGCGAAGAAAAACTTCTGTAGAACAAAAAAAAAAAAAAAAAACACAACAAAAATGTACAAACTATTTCTAGTGTTAAACATTTCTTGACTTTTCCAATTGAACGAATGTTTTTATTTGATTTGTCCCAAAATATAATAAAATACTGAATGCTAAGCAGAAAAAATACAACAACCAATCCCTCTATTAATCCGACAGATTTGATGTCTTCGAACGAATCACAGATCCCTTTAATCTACATGTAATATAAACATTGTTGGAAAAATGTCTTATTGGCAATTAGACTACTGTTGTGACATCTTATAATTTTTACATTTTTAATACATAATATATTTCAAAAAGAGTTGATTAAACTTATTATAATTCTGTAGCGGATTAATTACATCGGTTTGCTTGTTGATAGGGGATATCAAATTTGATGTAATATAAAATATTGATGTTAATAATGTTTTACCTGCGTTTCCTGAATAATCACCGACTGTTAACCCGTACTTCGAAGCAGCGTCTCCAATACTGAATCGTTTGTATACAGCATATTTCTTTTTATTACTTTTGTCAACCATGTCTATTCTCAGTTCGTATTTTCCACTTGCTGTCAGAGTATGCATGTAATTGTTTCCTACAATAAAAAGAAAGAAGCTGTTCATCAGTACACATAGAAAAGAGACAGAAGATACCAATAGGACATTCAGAACTCATAAGTCGACGTAAAATGACAACACAAAGACAAAAGACAAACAAACGACAAAATGGTAATGAAGTCCACAAAACACTTCATAGAAAACAAAAGACTAGCAACAACAAGAATCATCTAAAGTGTGGATTGGTCTCGGATTGTCCGCCAGGAAAAAGCGATCCTGCTGCACTGGCATGTGAAATCCTTTATTTAACTCAAATAAATTACACTGATAGTGTAAACGAAATTACGAATTTGTAATTTACTATGATGTGGAAGCCGAAGACATTACCAAATTCGCACGATCGGTCAATTAAAATTTTCTTACCCCAAAATCTTGACGTTATGTCTTAAAATAAAAACACGGTTTTCAAGATACAGGATATACAAGTCTGTTTCCCGATAAAAACAACACGGGTACTATTAATTTAACATTTGAATATTCTTGTCCTGCGTAGCCAATCAATTTCGGACTAGTCGTTTAAACAACATTCCATGATCATCATTATTATTAATCATCATCATCTGAATTGCATGAATATAATCCATCAAAAACTGGAAAATTTGTTATAAATTCAAAACAATTGTGTGTGTTGGACATGTTGGAGGTTAATACAGTTCCCTTTTATTTTTTTTCACTCAAAAACAATGTTTTCTTTTCAGCAAAAATCTTTGATGAAGTTAATAACTATAGGTTGCAAACGAGTAAAAACTCGGGTTGTTGAACCTCTTTCTCTGAATGTTTTGCATCTCGGTGGGATTCGAAGCTATTAGCTTCATTCGATGTTCACACCATCTTGAGATTATTACGTAACAAATATCGATTCTGATTGGTGGTCGCATTATTTGGTTATAAGTCGATAGGCTAGAACGAGATACATAATTGGGAACTTGTCTCGGACAGAAGATATTACAATTATTTGCTTTTGCACTTTGAATGTATAAAATGTGTCCAACCTTAAAATTGTATTTTCTATAAATATTCAAGATCTAAATATCCATCTTGATTACAAAAATCTTGTTTTTGTTGAATATAAATGGTATGTATCTGGTTTCTATGGAAACATAAAAACATAATATTCTGATCTGACTGTATGTTTTTAACAGATTTAATGTGCGGTTGCTGGTTGTCTTGGACTGTCTTCATGTCATTGCTCCAGATCTATTTTTTTTTTAAATTATTACTTTGAAATAAATTTTCCCTTTTTTTAAGTTTTAGGTGATCTTGTACGAGTTTCGTTATCGTATGCTTTGAATGTGCGTTTGTTTTTATATATCATTTAAAAAAAATATTTCACTAACTTACATCTGAAATAAAAACTTGAACTCAATGGTATTGCTTTTAAAAATGTTTGTACCAAGTGCAGGATATATGGAAATAATTAAAATGAAAAACAAAATATAAGGATATTTGTCCTTGTGAATTATTTTTTGAATTTGCAAGCTTAACTTCACATCAAATTCCGCTTACTGTATTAAGAATAGTGTTTCATGAAACCCAGACTTTTGTTAATATCAAACGTTTTTTATGCACGCTTTTAAAACATACTTTCAGGTGAAACATGTGAGTGTTTTGTAAATAATTGAAAAAGTTAACAATTTCGTAATACCTATGGATAAGACAACCAAATGATCAACATATTTTGCGTGTCAATCATTTATGTCGCACTCTTTACAGTGTGATCTTTTCAGTGTGATCTTTTCAGTGTGATCATTTCAGTGTGATCATTTCAGTGTGATCTTTTCAGTGTGATCTTTTCATGCGTTCAATAGATAAAAAGAGAACACAACCATAAGTAAATAAAAAATAAAATTGAGAAGCTGGTATCTTTAGCTTGTCACTGATAATGGGGTATTTGATCTGAGAGTTTGAGAAGCTGGTATCTTTAGCTTATCACTAATAATGAGGTATTTGATCTGAGAGTTTGAGAAGCTGGTATCTTTAGCTTGTCACTAATAATGAGGTATTTGATCTGAGAGTTTGAGAAGCTGGTATCTTTAGCTTATCACTAATAATGAGGTATTTGATCTGAGAGTTTGAGAAGCTGGTATCTTTAGATTGTCACTGATAATGGGGTATTTGATCTGAGAGTTTGAGAAGCTGGTATCTTTAGATTGTCACTGATAATGGGGTATTTGATCTGAGAGTTTGAGAAGCTGGTATCTTTAGATTGTCACTAATAATGAGGTATTTGATCTGAGAGTTTGAGAAGCTGGTATCTTTAGCTTATCACTGATAATGGGGTATTTGATCTGAGAGTTTGAGAAGCTGGTATCTTTAGCTTATCACTAATAATGAGGTATTTGATCTGAGAGTTTGAGAAGCTGGTATCTTTAGCTTGTCACTGATAATGAGGTATTTGATCTGAGAGTTTGAGAAGCTGGTATCTTTAGCTTGTCATTGATAATGGGGTATTTGATCTGAGAGTTTGAGAAGCTGGTATCTTTAGCTTTTCACTGATAATGAGGTATTTGATCTGAGAGTTTGAGAAGCTGGTATCTTTAGCTTGTCACTAATAATGAGGTATTTGATCTGAGAGTTTGAGAAGCTTGTATCTTTAGCTTGTCACTGATAATGAGGTATTTGATCTGAGAGTTTGAGAAGCTGGTATCTTTAGCTTGTCACTAATAATGAGGTATTTGATCTGAGAGTTTGAGAAGCTGGTATCTTTAGCTTGTCACTAATAATGAGGTATTTGATCTGAGAGTTTGAGAAGCTTGTATCTTTAGCTTGTCACTGATAATGAGGTATTTGATCTGAGAGTTTGAGAAGCTGGTATCTTTAGCTTGTCACTAATAATGAGGTATTTGATCTGAGAGTTTGAGAAGCTGGTATCTTTAGCTTATCACTGATAATGAGGTATTTGATCTGAGAGTTTGAGAAGCTGGTATCTTTAGCTTGTCACTGATAATGAGGTATTTGATCTGAGAGTCTTCCATAAGTGATGTTCCATCGAATAAGGAACAATATAACAATTTTTGGTGAAAAACTACTATCTACTATTTTGAATACAAGCAATACTACAATCAATTTTATTTGAAAATCATTATGTGCTTTTTTTACAATAACATAATATGAAAAAAAAACTACTGTAACGAGGCAAATTTAAGGTAATTCTAATGTACATACCAAACCAGAATTCTCCATCAATGTTACCGAATCCGTTTTCACATTCCAACCACTTCCGGTTAAAGTCTACTGATCCATCAAATCTTTTCTGAATAACCTGAATAGTAAATTTATTACGAAATATGAAATATCCTATGATGATAAGCATAAAGCAATTATTTTCACTTATTGTATTAAAACTTGCAACATAGGTAAGGTAATCACTATTGATAGAGTTCTTTGAAATAACCCCAATAAGAATTATATAAGACTTTTAGTGTATACTACATTTTTACTGTTTTCTAGAAGGATTTGGAAAACACTCATAGGAAGCAGTGTTTATAATGAAGGACGCCGTGTTCGTTGTAAAAGGAAGGGTTCTACTGCGGTTGAATTGGTAAAAACTTCGACGAACGAATTCTCCCAGAATGTTCAATATCATTTGTGTCTTGATATGGAATTTAATATGTTGAGAAATTTAACATTTGTGATTATAAACTAAAACTTGTTTTCCAACATGCTGAGTTTCCTGGCACAAATTGAGAGAATATATATTTCTCAGATTCTTGTAAATTACTTTTAAAATTTATAAAACATGTTAAGTACAAAACAAGAAATAAAAGCATGACCTACTGTCCAACCTCCGCCGTTTGTAGACATATCACAATACGCCTTAACAAGATTTCTGTCGTCGGGATATATTTTGTACACACCACTTCCCAGCGTCTTGTAGCTGTTCTTTTCTATATCTGTGCAGTCTCTGTTTTTTCTATCTTTATGTGATTCTGTATCTTAAACCAAACCACACGATGGAATCATGATGGGCAATTTAAACACAAAATATAAAGTCTGTTCTTTTCACATAATTAAAAGAAAATATAGATAAAAAACCTTTAATTTAGTCTTACGTATTACTGTCATCTTTTCGTTAACTGTAATATATCGTCTTGGTGTCAATATGTACACATTCATAATACATCTGTTCAAACATCCAAAGTATGTTTCCTTTCATGCAAATTTAATACATACGTTTATGATGCGTATCATTTTTCGATGCACAAATATATGATTGAATGATTTATATTAATTTGCGTATAGTCATGAGACAAAAATTGTAATGCATGTTTAGGACGAGAATATAGATTAAGCCTTATTCAAGCCATTAAAATTATTCTCTCCATTTAGACGGACGCTTTTAATAGCTACATTTTTTCATCTTGTTTAGCATGATGGTATTTTGATATTTCATTGAAAGGAGAAGGTATGATAAGGGGTGTTTTTGGCCCCTTCTGAAAAGAAGCCTTAATTTATACCATTGTTAGCCTTTGTATAGAAACATGAAAAAATATAGTTTTTTTTTATGTTCTGGTAAAAAGAACGTTGCCTAGCAACCGTTTTTATTAGATAATAGAATAAGCATATACGAATTGCTGTATCTGTACAAATAACCAAATTTCCAAATAAGATGGCAGGTTTGAGAATAACTTGAAGTTACAAATGAAAAGTCACTTCAATTTGAGCTCACAAGATGCTTACCAACAACCTAGCAACAGAAATATTCACTAGCAACGGTAAATACATTGGTGATTTTTGTCCTCCGAAGTATGAATCTAGCAATGTTTGCTTTCATATAATGGTGTTACATTATAATACAATATGTGAGTAATCCTTATCTGTTTTGACAAGGTTTATATTGAGCGTAGCAGCACAAATGTTGCTTAGCAACAGCAAAAAATATTAAATTAAAGCTTACTGTAAATGAAGTAGTCATTTTATTGTACTATCGGTAATAAGAACAAATGCAAAAACAGAATGTATGTACAGAAATAACAATTGGTAAGAAATGAAAAAGTCAGTTTAATTGTAGCTCTATAAATGCTTTTGTCAACAACGTAGCAACATAAATAGCACATAGCAACGGTTAAAAATTTAGAAGATACTAGTATGTTACAGACCTTTTTAGTCACACTCTTTAAATAACTGCATAATCGTTCATCAGAAGATTTTTTCATAGAGCATTTTTTTTTCTTACATGAACAGTTGATTGCCTAGCAACGGATTTTAGTAAATACCATAAAATATCAATTTATTTGTGGAGTTTCTCTTTGAAATAGCTATGAAATATTTAAAATGCAGTAAGTGGTGTCAAATGCTAAAATATGTCAAGATGAATATTTAGTATGAATTACATTACATTAATAGCTTCAATCTAGTAATGACCATGGTCCCTAGCAACCACTGAGGATGTTATTAAGCAATATGAAAATCTTTAGTAAAGGTTTGCGTTGGCTTTTTGTAGTTCTTATTACCAACATCATGATTATAGTTACTAGTATTGCCTTAGCAACAACAGCAAGTCAGAAAGGGGAAGTGCTTGAACAAGCACATTAAGATATTTTTCTAGAGTATTTTTATCTTAATTTGTACCATCTTATATTCTAAACACAACTTTTCAAAATCAACAGAAATAATTTTCTAATTGGTCCAAAACACTTAATGTTTAGACTTATAAGTTCAGTGGGTGCCATGGAAACAAAGAATAGATTTAATGCTTGACTATTACATAGTAGCGTTAGACTTTTTTTTATGTTACTACATTTAAAAAGCACAGTCTGTTCTTATACAAAATACAACAATCTCTTGTAAATTAAATGTATATGAATAGCAATTCGTTTAAAAGCCTGTTTACTCCTTATGTGTCTGTGAATTCAATTAATAATCAATCCTGGCTCTATGTAGATGTACCAATTTAAAGTACCGAAAATTATATGAAAATCTTATTTTATAACATTTGTATTGACAATAGAATTGAATAAGTTATGACCGTTTCATTTTAGAATTTTTTTTAACCACAATATAATGACCAAATCAGCAGGATTCGGTATATAATGAAAACAAGACATAAACTGTTTGTAAATGCTAAAAAAATATGTAAGTTAATTACTTATTTCACCATTTTCTTATCAAACAGAATTTGACCTAAAGTGATGCTCTGAAATATAAGTGAAGAGTAGCTGTCAAATACACACAGTTTGTACAAGTTATTTTACTCCTCTGGCAAAGAATAACAGTCACTTTCATCAGAACTAGGTATGTAAAATGCATCTAAAAAGGATGTTTTAAAGTCTCTCCTTGACTTCATACAGGAACTTCTTAGGACGAAAGATAAGAAGTTGGCAATATCCTTTAACTGTACGTTCCGCTATATAGATGATGTTCTCTCACTAAATAATACAAAATTTGGTGACTATGTTGAACGAATCTATCCCATCGAACTAGAGATAAAGGATACTACAGATACAGTTAAGTCTGCCTCATATCTTGACTTACATCTAGAAATTGACAATAAGGGACGGTTGAAAACAAAACTTTACGACAAAAGAGATGATTTCAGCTTCCCAATTGTGAACTTTCCATTTCTATGTAGCAACATTCCAGCAGCGCCTGCATACGGAGTATATATCTCCCAATTGATACGATATTCCCGGGCTTGTATTTCCTATGATGATTTCCTTGATAGAGGATTGCTGCTCACAAGGAAGCTATTAAACCAAGAGTTCCAAATGGTGAAGTTGATGTCATTCCTTCGTAAATTTTACGGACGCCATCACGAACTGGTTGACCGTTATGGAATAACCGTTTCACAGATGTTAACGGATATGTTCCTTATGTCGTAACTACAATACCCTTCCCTTTTCACGAATGTGATGTACCGAATTAGACTACTTACCGGATTTGTAATAACATAAGCAACACGACGGGTGCAACATGTGGAGCAGGATCTGCTTACCCTTCCGGAGCACCTGAGATCACCCCCAGTTTTTGGTGGGGTTCGTGTTGCGTAGTCTTTAGTTTTCTATGTTGTGTCATCTGTACTATTATTTGTCTGTTTGTCTTTTTATTTTTGGCCATGGCGTTGTCAGTTTATTTTCGATCTATGAGTTTGACTGTCCCTCTGGTATCTTTTTCTCTCTTTTGAAACAGACTGCTGTTCAAGTCTTTGATACCCTAGATACCAAAGCACCCTTGCAACATGTGCACAACAACCAACTACTCGTGCTCCCGTTTTGCATGTACGATACCATCCTTCTATATCTTCTTCGTCACTGTAACTTATAAAGACAGTATGGGAAAGTTTGTTACTGTGTCTTGATTGTATTTTAATTTTGAGCAGGTTTTCTTTAATTTTGCACACATACAGTTCAAATTTTCCATCTTCATCCTCATGTTCTCTGACATAATAAGGGACCTGTTTCAACTGATATACCCCCATGGTTATTTCTCGTAGTTTATCCATACTGAGAACGGGAAAATCCGTTATTTCATCTAAAACATTTGAAGCATCAAGTAATTTGTAAACGGAACGTTTTGTCAATAATCCTTCTTCTGTCACCATCTTTTCGATAGCATTTCCCTTTTTGCATTTATCAAGCATGGCTTCAGCAATACTTTTATCCTCATGGTATGTACTAGCAAGTTGTGGGCGAAACTTGTTGCAAACAGCACATACAATGCGTAATAAATCACCAATGATTGGAATAAAATGGTTTAAAACTACTTTGTCAAAAAATCTCCATTGTTTGACGCGAGCATTTACACTTTCCACGACCCATCTGACTTTGGTGACTAGTCTACTTGCGTTAGCTTCTTCTACTGGATGCTGTTTGGATCCCTTCTCCAGGTAAACGGGCATTTTTACATTATACCCTTACTCTCTTAAGAAGTCTACCACGTGTCTGAATCCCCGGTCTACAACACAAACATCGCTAGTCTCTAGCCACTCATCCATGCCTTCTGCATTGACGTAAATCATATGCTTTGTTATTGATGCATCATTATTTTTTGCGTTTGCAAAATATGGACCCAGAACTGACAGGATATATCCATCTGTTCCTACAATAACCATTGCTTTAACAAGAGATCTGTTTTTACGAAGGCTGTATGACAACCTCTGGAATTCATAATCAGAGCCTTTTTTAAGGTAGATATAAGTACCTTTTATGACAATAATTGCAGCATCTTCGGAATCATTGGCAAACAGAGTTTTTGCTATTGGATTGGTGTGATTCCGAACAAAATTTTCGTGGCTTATATGCTGAAACCCAATGAAATGTGGTACAAAATACTGCATAAGGGAAACTCTGGCACTATGAATGCATCTTTGTACCTGGCTTTTGGTTAACGAAAATATTGTTCCAAGTATATGGTTTGGTAGTCCTGTTCTAAGTTTTGTTAACAAGACAGCTATACATGTGCGTACAGACCTAACATTGGTTTGACGTGCTGAAACAATATATGAGGAGAGTTCATTGAACTGCTGCTTTGATAATCCAGTTAGATTGTAATAGTCACCATCAGATAATGATAATTGGTTGTCAAAATTCAGGATATGAGAGTTTGCCAAAGTTTTTCTTACATTTTCTAATAATGAAGTTATATCAGAACGATGCATATATGTTGTAGTGTATTTTGCAGTTAATGCTTGAAGGGGTGTGTTGTCGAAAAGTTGTTCAGATAAATGATGTTTGCAACAGCGTGTATTCCCATCTATAAAAACAGTATTTTTTCATAAAGGCTTTGGTTCTTGCCTGTAAAGGAACTTTGCATAACTTATTTCTACTGCTTCCTTCCTTCTTGAATACAATGCAGAATCTATGTGATGTGTGAGTGGAAGAAATGTTCAGTTCAATTTGTTTCGGACTTAATATTTTCGTAGATACGGCTTCTTCTGTATTTATAACACACTCAGAGTCACGGTCATCTGAAATACACTCGGTAAGACAGTTTGAAACTTTCTGTTCATTGTTTACATTTTTTTGGTGTTTTCCTATATATTGATCTACACTTCTCACATATCACATCATTTTCTTGAATGTTTCGCTCAATTCTTTTTCTTACAAACTGTGTCAGTGCTTTAATGGTAATATTACGTCTAGATTTTAGATGACATCTCCCACAAACCACACACTTGTAGTCTTAAGCCATCAGTCACCTGGAAAAAATGTAAACAAATTATTATCGATACATGTAAAACGTAAAAGAAGTTCCTATAGGAAATTGCAATGTCTATATTTACAGAAATTCAACCTATAACTACGTGAGTTGGCCTCTTGTTGGAATTTCAATTTTAAAAATTACGTCATGTAGAATTAAAGTGTTTTATTAGATTTTCCATTGTATTTTTTATTTTGTGTAAATTGAATACTGTTGTTAAAAGGTCAAAGGTCAAGTGGTTGTCGTTGATTCATGTCTGTTATATTGGTTTTTCGTTAATTATTTTGTTATAAGTTTTTCTGTTTTAAAACATACTTAAACGTATATCTAAATTATAAAAAGTCTAAAATAAACAGTTTACGATGCATGGACTCGATAATATGTATCTACATTTTGTGTGTATTTTATTCTATTGCATATCTCGTAGTTAATGCCCCTTTCAAGTATCAATAATAATTTTGCAACTTACATTTAAGTTTTATACATATATTCAAAACCATCTCCTTCTTTTTGTATTAAGGACAAACCATGCGCCAATAAAACAAACCAGGCGGATTGCTGTGACGTTCAGTAACGTATTTTGTACCTAAAAAAGATAAAAATGTATGTTTATCAAAATGCATCTGATATTTTCGTTGTGGTTTAAACTCTTGTTGTTGCAACCAGCTCCGACAAGGACCCAAGAACAACAATGTTGACTAATTTTTCCATTCTTAGATTTAAAAGATAATCATATATTTGGCTATAATACTCTAAGATTGACACCTCATGGAGATAATCTTTATGTACTTTAATAAGCAAAAGTTTTCCAACCGCCTGCCTGCAACAGTGCAAGGCCGTTCTATTTCATACAAAAGTTAAGCTAATTCGAAGACATATTGAAAACTAAGTCCTATAAAAATAAAAAGATGTGGTATAATTGCCAATGAGACAACTTTCCATAAGAGACCGAATGAGACAGAAATTACCAAGTACAGGTCACTGTACGGGTTTTCAACAATGAGTAAAACCTTTACCTCATCGTCAGCTATAAAAGGCTCCGAGACAAATGTAAAACATTTCAAACAAGAAAACTAACGGCCTGATTTATGTACAAAATGATGAACGAAAAACAAAAATGAAATACAGCAAGAAACGACAACCACTGAAATACAGGCTCCTGACTAGGGACAGACAAATACAGAATGTGGAGAGATAAGCCAGTTTGAATGCGCACCAACCTCTCAACCCCACCGCTAAGCTGGGACAGTTGTGTAACAGTACAACATAAGAAAAACTATAAAAATCAATCGAAAATGGCTTAACTCATCAGATGGATACTAAGCAGAAATATTTCTAAATAATCCACAGAGTGGACGTGACAGGGAAAACTATCCTTTAATTGTTTGCTTGTTGATAATTTCAACGATTCCTTTGGAACGTAAACATTATCTTTTATAATTATGTCTAGATATTCAACATAACTGGATTCAAGTTTCCGTAAAGAAACGGGTATGAATTTTATAGTAGTTTCAATAAAATTAAAAGAACTCAAAATAACAGTTATAATCATCATCTACAATTCCTCATAGTGAACATTTTCATGCCTTGTAATTGGTTGTTATTTCGTTAAAAAACAGATTAAAAATAGCATTCAAATAATATTATTTACATAATTTTAATTATCAAAAAAAAAAAAAAAAAAAAAAAAACATCTGTCACAGAGCAGCGATCTGTACCATTGCGCCACGGCGGCTAATTGTCTGAACATGGTAATTTAGATATACTTATATCTTCTGTTAATTATATGACGTGTTTTTTTCCTAGATCAGTTGATAAAACTAAATAAATCATTCGGGGTTGGGTTGTTTTTACAAATATCAAGTTAAACAAAACATACGTGTATTGTACCGCATAGTATTTTCAACAGTAATATTTTTAACCATTGCGCTGATGATCTTCTGCCACTTCCCTATCATCACATTGAAACTTTCAAGTTTATCGGAGATTTGTTGCTCTATGGCAAATATAAAAATAAAATTGAGAATGGAAATGGGGAATGTGTCAAAGAGACAACAACCCGACCATAGAGCAGACAACAGCCGAAAGCCACCAATGGGTCTTCAATGCAGCGAGAAACTCCCGCACCCGGAGGCGTCCTTCAGCTGGCCCCTAAACAAATATGTATACTAGTTCAGTGATAATGGACGTCATACTAAACTCCAAATAATACACAAGAAACTAAATTTAAAATGATACAAGACTAACAAAGGCCAGAGGCTCCTGACTTGGGACAGGCGCAACAATGCTGCGGGGTTAAACATGTTTTTTGAGATCTCAACCCTCGTCCTATACCTCTAGCCAATGTAGAAAAAACAAACGTACAACAGTACGCAGAGTAAAACTCAGTTTAAGAGAAGTCCGAGTCCGATGTCAGAATAGGAAACAAAAGAAAATAAACAAAATGACAAAAAAACATAAATAACAACAGACTACTAGCAGTTACTGACATGCCAGCTCCAGACTTCAATTAAACTGATTAAAAGATTATGTCTTCATAAGACTTCGTATACTTGTTTTATAACAGATTTTTAATAAAATCATCTATAAATTAATATTTATCTGAAACATAATGTAGTACATACCTCTGTTTTTCAGCTGTGTAGTTTGCTAATGTAAACTATCGTATCAGTTCAATCTTTCCGATAAAAACTGAGTCACAAAATAAGTCTTACAATTCGGCGGTTCAAATTGAACTATTGATTGGTCATTAGATAAAATTCGTAGTTGTTGTCCATGTATTTACATAACTGGAAAAGTCCAAATAAGTCTTTGAACTTAATCTACGTGTATGAAAATGAGCTTGGAAAAATGTACGTAAATTTGGCAAAAAACCGAGTTCATTCTGTCAACCGGTAAAAAGGTTAGTTTTGGGGCAAAATTGCAGCAGATTTAAAAAAAAAAATTTAATATGAGCGGACGCTCGCTCAAAAAGTCCTTTTGCAAGGTGGCAAAACATTACATTTTTGACAATATTTGAAAATATCTTCTTGGGGCTTCTATTTAATTCAATAGATATTACAGTTAAGTACCTACCATTTTGTTGATTTTGCGTTACTAGGCAAAGAAAATCGTGTATTTGTGATTGCTAAAAGTTTGAAATATTCGGATTTAAATGGTGTTTATGTTAGTTCGATATTTTTGGAAGTTAAAAAACATATACTTCATAAAAACAATTGTCTTTAATTTTTCACTAAAATAGGGGACCGATCTACGTAGCTTATCATACCTTCTCCTTTCAGTCAATGATAAAAGATTCTAATGCAACATCGTTTGTAACGTTCATTTTGATTGGATAACGTCACAAATTTTCGTGGAATCAATTAACAATTGATGGTATGAAAACGTACGCGCAAGTGCAGACGAAGTATGGCAAATTTTAAATGTATTATTTGACGTGCTTTTCTGTCAGTTTCAATAGAATGGAGATAACAATATTGTATTTTAAGCTCCGACGGCATCAATTGGTGATTTGATGGTCGCAAATACCCGTTTACTTGCTCCGCTTTCTTAAATGAATTGGACACAAGTAAACCATACTGATGAAGTCCGCTCCGAATTACAATTTATAACATTAGAATATTAACATGAGCATTCAATAGTTCGAAATATACGATACTTTATGAGTTTAGCTATTGAAAAAAGATGATTCATCTATTGTAATATCAATAACCGAATATCCATATCTTAATATACGTTTGAGATTTATTTACTAGTATTCACTCTTGTAACTAGTATAGTTCAAAACAAATGATGTTAGCGACCTAGAATAAAGGATTGTGTATTTGTCGTTTAGGAGTCAACTTATACACTAATGCAAAAATTAAAATAACAAAAATACCGAACTCCTATGAAAATAAAAAAACGGAAAGGCCTTAAACAAATGGCAAAATCAAAAGTTTAAACACATCAAACGTATGGACAACGACTGTCATATTCCCGACTCGGCACAGGCATTTTCTTATGTAGACAATGGTGGATTAAACCTGGTTTTATAGCTAGCTTAATAACCTCTCACTTGTTTGACAGTCGCACAAAATACCATTACATGGACAACAATGTGTGAACAAAACAAACAGACATAATAGATAAAAATGTAAAAAATAGGGGTACAGCAGTCAACATTGTGTTATAATATAATCACTATAAAACAAACGAGTATGTAACAAAGAAACACAAAAGGGCATATAGACAAAGCACATTAGCAAACATGAAAGGCAAGAAATGAAAATTTACAATAGCACAATAACACAATGACGAGATGCAAGCCATCGTTATAGGACATAACGCATATTACAATCAAATAATCAATTATACAAAATACTTTAAAGTAGAACTCAGCAAAGATAGCAGACTCATAACTTGATAAATGAAGGCAACAGTCATATACTACTGTTCAAAAGTCATAAATTGATTAAGAGAACACAAATCCGCCAGACGTGCATTTCTTTAACCAAAGACTCATAAGTGCATGACGCTCGAAACACAAACGCTGAAAGACCAAAAAAGACACTGTTCTTTCCCTTATCTTAACAATTGGCTGCACTTGCAATTTACAGTCACTGACAAGTTTTCGTTTTGTTAAATATTTTATGCCACCCAATTACGGATACTGTCATAATCAGCTGTGTCTGCATTAATCCATGACTTTCTTAAGAACAAGTCACTAAAAGAAAGCCATAGAGAGGACAAAAAAAGATTTAAAACAACCTTACCATTCAATGACTCCGTCAAATTTATCCTCCATTCTTCCAATTCCTTTCTTTGAATTTGTAAATAAGCAGTAATTTTTCCATCGAGTTCTTGTGATAAATTCGCAAATTGAGATTTAAGGTCACTTGCAAGATCGTTTATTTTATTATTGTTATAGTCTTGAGATTTTTGAAGCTTGGTTAAATATTCAGATAACATTGCCAATTTCAAGCTTTCCTGTCTGTGTTCAAAACCACTCAACAAATCCGTTATTTCCGTATTATAGTTAAATTCACTTTCACTTAAATTTTTGTAAACTTCAGATATTTCTAGCTGTATCTTTTCTTGTTTGTCCTCAATGTTTTGAACTATATTCGACATCTTTTTGTCATATTCTTTCTTTGTGCCGTTCAGTTTTGACGAATAATCGTCTAGCATGGATGTCTTTAATTGTTCTTGCTCATTTTTCACCATGTCCTGAACATCATCAGAAAAGGTGGATTTGATATCATCATCAATGTAAGCTTTTAACTGCTGGTTCATTGACGTTATGTCAAGTTCTGCTACAAGGGGGGCTTGTAGGTTATTTGATATCAATGACATTCTCACTTGTTGGCATTCGGAACCGGACTTCGTACAGGGTTTACAATCAACATGGACAGTGGTCAACAGTTGTATTGTCAAAACAAATGCAATTAATTTTTCTGTCACAATCATTGTAGAGTTGTTTTTATCCTACCGGATTATATTAGATATATCGTGTAAGTCCTGATATAAAACTTTTCTGCCGACAAAATGGAAAAGCTTTGCAATTTATATAGAAATTGATATCTGTAAGTTCTGCCTTCGTAATAAAATACTTCCACAATATCATTGATGTTTGGTATATAAATATGAACATTAAGATGTTCTGTAATCAGACAATATATAGCCCATATTTTTGGCACCTTTGACAGTGATGAAGTTCCTTGTGATTTGATAACGATAAACGCAATTTTAACACGGTCATAAAATTTAAACATCACAAGACCGTGCTTTTCTCTGAACGTTGATGATTTCTTTGCACTAAATTCGTTAAATGAGAACTGATTGCTATTTAAGTATGGGAAAACAAGGTTTATTTATGAGATGAAATTGGCTTTTAAATTGCTTTCAGTATCATTAAGTACATTCAGTTCGGTTTTGTCTTTATTTTCATTCTTTGTTTATTCGTTGTTTGGTTGTGATTCGTGTCAATTTGAGGAGTAAAGCCCTATAACTGATTTCTATAGTTTGTTCTTATGTTGTACTGGTGGACTGTCTCGTGTTTGGGAATGTATGAACATTTACCATCATATTTAAATACGTCGTATCCTACATACCTGACCCAAGATAAGACCCTGGTCACTGTCTCACAGGTTTGTTTTTTCTTTTTGTTTTTGTTTGTTTGTTTGGTTTTTTTTTTTTTATCAAAAAGCAGACCAAACGCTGTCTCATGTAGATTGTTTCGTGTTTAGAGTTGTTTTCCATTCGTTTGATGTGTTTGAGCTTTCGATTTTGTCATTTGATAAGGAACTTTCCATTTTGAATTTTTCTTGGAGTTCGGTAAATTTGCTTTTTTACTTTTTTGTCATGCCGAAGCCTTTTATAGTTAAATCTACGGTATGGGGTTTCCTCATTGTTGAAGGCCTTATGATGACTTATAGTTGTTTATAACCTCGTCCTTTTGTCAACTTACGAAAGTTTTCTAATTATTACACGCACATGTTTTTAAATAGAGCATTTTCCAATCCCTTCGTTGGTCATTTCTCATTAAAGCAAAGACTGGGATGATCTTAAACTAGTACATTAGGCTGTCAGTTAATGCACTGGGGGATTCTGCCTCTAGGGACTAGTAAATAATGAAAGAATCAAACAAAAATGAAATAAAAGTTACTTTAAATTTTCCTTTTGAATTGCTATAAAAGGCATACACAACAAATTTTGAAAACATAAAATGCAGTAGGAGGAGAACTTTAAATTAACTCTAAACAAGACTTTATTCTTAAACAACCTAATTTAAATTAAGATAATATTCTATAGACTTGAGGAAAATGAATAATCGAAGGGAAATTCAGGATTATATATGTTATAAGATAATATATGTTTTTTCATTTGGTACTCTAAGCCCTTTAAGATTAGAAGTTTCTTGTAGTGCTAGTTTTACGATTTGGACAGATGGTGAAATATAACGATAAACGATAATTTAACAAGATCATAAAATGTAAACATCACAAGATCGTGCTGTTCAATGACTACAGAAGATGTCTATGCACTTCCTTTGTTAATTGCGTGCTGTTTTATGTTGAGAAAATAAGGTTTGTTGATGAGTTTGAATTGGCTTTCAACTTGCTTTTGGTATCATTAAGTACTCTTAGATCCGTATATTTTTGGTATGTTGGTATTTTTGTACATTCTTATTACGCATTGATATGTGGAATCAGAATAACAGGAGAAATAGCTTTCACAGAACTTTTTAGCATTAAAAGTTCAAACCAGTTTTGTTTTGCATTTCTAGAAATATGTAAACCTAAATATTTATTTACTTCAATTGATTTTTTTTCTCTATTAAATGTAAGAGAAGCATATTTTTGTCAGCCAGGATCCAAAGGCTTAAATTATGAGCATGTCAATGAACTTATCCGATGTAACGACAATATCGGAGCCGTAATGGTTCACACGACAACTTGGTCTGTGTCCTGTTTTATGTCATGAAGTTTTAAACTGATGTATTTGTAAATAGTAGAAGTCCAGTGGCAACTATTCTATGTATATTCCGGACGAAAACATATAAATTATGCATTCAATTTAATGATTGGTGTCATAAATGTAATATCAGTATTTTGAATGAAAATATTGGCGGTGTCGATTTATCGGACCAACCAGCATATCCCTTATTCAACAAGTAAGAAATCAAATTTAAAAACATTTGAAAACAATTCTTTTTATAATTATATTTTCTAACGTGATATTGGGAGGTTCGACTTTTTAACCTTCTCGACAATATAATGAATACATTGGTGGTTATCAATTTTTCGACAACGCTTATACATAAAATTATTCTATGAAAATAATACTTGTAAAGCTAAATATGAAATAATTTCAAGATATTGACTACATAATTACTGGCTTTCGGATTTAAGTTTGAAAAAAAATGTTTACGAACATACGATTAATCATTAACATGCAGACATATATAAAGGCATTAGTAGTATACAACTGTTCAAAAGTCATAATGCCTGTAATACTAGTGATTTTATAACATTGAACATTTGTGCATAAAATTATCGAAATTAAGATGTTATATTAATCTTATTGAATCCAATGTCCTGTTGGAAAAAAAGAACACTGATAGAAACAAAAGCGACACATTCAGATACCTCCACGTTTTGGTGGACAAAAATTGTATAGTGTATATACTAAGGGCTTTAAAACTTAAAATCATTATCTTAATCTCTAGGATGATTAAAATGGTGTCTTAAGCTGGTCATAAGATATTCATAGAATAAATTTGTTAGTGTATACGGGCATATACGATTAGCTGAAATTAAGTGCTTTAATTGGGACAAAGAAAATTAATAAGAATATTTGAACGATGCTGATATAGAGAGAAAAAAAAACCAAATACACCTTCTACACCAATTATCATTGAACTTATTGAAGGTTTCAATATGAGCTTTAAGTGAGAGATTAATTTAGCTATAACACGAGGTTTAACCCATCATTTTCGACATAAGGAAATGCATTTACCAAGTCAGCAATATGGCAGTTGTTTTCTATTCGTTTGATGTAATTGAGCTTTTGATTTTGCCATTTGAAAAGGGTCTTTCCGTTTTGAATTTGTTAGGAGTTGGGTTTTTTTGTTGTTGTTATTTAAATCTGTACTATTATATTTTTTGGGAGGAAAGAGGGGGGCATATATATAGTTTCGCTTCTTTAAGTAAATTTTGTATTTACAGAGCCGATCTTTATAAACATATGCCTACAGGAGTGAGTATCATAAAACATAAACACTAGATAGATCGTAAGTCTTACACAACTCAGTATACCTACAATCTATTTTAGTCGTGAATGTTTTGTGGAACTCCTTCCTGATACCTACAAAAGTCAACATTTTTGCAATGTTCTTGTAAAGATTGAAAAGTTCAGCGAATATAATTCGTCTATGCTTGCTGACTCGAAGCAGACTGTGATCATCCAGAGAAAGTTATAATTTATTTCCGCAAACGTTCCTAACTCATAGTGATTCTTCAAGTTACAAAATAGCGTGGACGTTATTTGGGTTAAATCTTTTTAAATACACATGTATTACAATAGGATTTATACCTCTAGTTGTTTCTCTACACATTAAAGACTCTTATTTGAAAAAAAAGTTTATGTCTTTACAATAGAAGTATAATTATATATTGTATTTTTCGTCTTGTTTCTGTATGTCGTGCTTTAGTACATATATGATACGGTACATCATTTTCACATGACGTATTTATATTTTGTATCTCTTAACATTCAATATTTAAAGATTACACTTAATGATCTAATAAGATTTGGTGTCTTATTAACGAATATCAAACATCTCTTGTAAGTTGTCTTGCGATAGAATGTTCAGTGCTGTTGATTTGGTCCTAACCAATGGTGGTGATCATTGAAAAAAGGAAAACATCAATGAAAAAGATGAGTTCAACGTTTTCTCAAATAAATCATGAAAAGAAATAATTGAAAGGTTTTAATTTTGTTTAGTATGCGATCAAATGCAATCAATTAAACAATTGGCCTGTTTCAGTATACGTAACACAACAATTCTTATTTTTGAAACATCTAGGACTAAAAAAAGAAAGAAAAAAAAGTGCGATCCTAGATTTCACTGTCCATACCAAAAATTTGTGCGACAATTTTTTTGTGATGAAAAACCGTAGCAATGTATACAATTGTGGAAATTCTCAGTTCATACACCCCTTGATTTTGTGCCGGTGTGTCCTGGCGTTGTGCTAGTGGGTCCTGATACGGTGCTGGTGATTGGTAACAAGACGTGAATCAAAAGTTGCAGAATTAATAGAAATTATCAAATTATCATTACTTCATGTTACTGAAAAGTGCAATATCATCAGTTCTATATCAGTATTTAGTTGCAATAGTTTTAGTGAAATATGAAATATATTTCAAATGGCAATTTTCATCAACATGCATTGTTCTAACCTCAGTATCATACGTTTATTACTGCCACTAGATTAGTAACATTGTCTGTCTATAAAGAAATATCAGTACAATAGTACTTCCACTACATCGCAACACTGACAGAACATTGAACAACAGTCGCATGTACTTATTTTGCACATTTGTTTTATTATCACAGATATATTTTGTTCATTACATTTATATTATCACTTTGAATCAACAGTTGCATGGTCTAGACAACAAAAGAGCACACTGCTAAAGTTTGTGTCGTATTTTCTTAGGTCATGGTTTTTTGTCGAGCCTGCGACGTTTGTCGCAGAAAGCTCGACATAGGGATAGTGATCCGGCGGCGGCGGCGGCGGCGGCGTTAGCTAACTTCTTAAAAGCTTTATATTTTAGAAGGTGGAAGACCTGGATGCTTCATACTTTGTATATAGATGCCTTATGTTACGAAGTTTCCATCTGTCACATGTCCATTGTTCTTGACCTCATTTTCATGGTTCAGTGACTACTTGAAAAAAAGTTTACATTTTTTGTAATGTTAATTCCTCTTTTATTATAGTAATAGGATAACTATATTTGGTATGTGCGTACCTTGCAAGGTCCTCATGCCCGTCAAACAGTTTTCACTTGACCTCGACCTCGTTTCATGGATCAGTGAACAAGGTTAAGTTTTGGTGGTCAAGTCCATATCTCAGATACTAGAAGCAATAGGTCTAGCATAATCGGTGTATGGAAGGACTGTAAGGTGTACATGTCCAACTGGCAGGTGTCATCT